CACGGCAGCAGCAGCTCAACTTAGAGCAACAGCAGCGACAACAACAATAGCCGCATCATCATTAGCAGCAACAAGGACATCAGCAACAACAAAAAGAGAAATGACACAACAAAAAACAACAATTATACTAATTTTAAAAATAGCAATGTTTACATTCGAAACAAATGTAACAATAATGATAACAATAATAAGTCAACACCATCGGCACCTACTGTCCATATGTATATTCTTGTCTGACGATTTGAAGTTTCATTTACGTCTTTCCTGTGCCTTCTGCACACTGACGCTGATGCGCTGCGCCTGTGGCAGCGTAAGAGCTTAGCCGTAGCTGCATTTTGTGCAAGAGGAGTAGGAAGTAAAGTGAATGTATTTGTGCTGACTAATCGCTTCCTTTAAAACAACAATATGCATCCTTAATGGCACTGCAAGTTAACCTGGTAAAGTTGTATATGGTGCCGTCTCTCATAGTCCCATGCGTCATTTGATCACATGCGCCCCGTCTCTTACGATTCCATCTGTCATCTTGTTATATATAGTCCGTACCTTCTTGTCCCATTTTTAAAGATGTAGTGACAGCATGCAACTAGGTGACGTCGCCAATTAATTGTAACTGGTCTTACGCTTGAGCCTTCAATCTCAGTGACCTGTCAGAAACAGTATCTTCTCACACTCCTCGTCGACGTCACTCTGGATGGCTACTAAATTGAACATCCTGCACATATCCACGATCCTGGATGCTAAGGTTTCCTTCTATAACAGATTCGCAGTCACATTCATAGCTTGACAAAAATTAGCTATATACCATTCGCTCAAGCGTAGTAGCAAATGAACTTGAACCGTCTGTCCACAAATATTACGCTTGAAGTGCTTAATCTTTCTCCAACCGCTCGATTTATACCTGATTTTCCGTCCACATGGGCATTGGATCAATGAACATCATGCCTAGCTCGCCGAATAGCTTCTTGAGTCGTACGAACTATCGTCCTGCTTGTGATGCTGCAATCAATTCTGATTCCATTGTGCTAAGCGAGACAACAGTCTACCGACTTTTGGTAAGTCTTGTCCGCGGCAAAATTTGCGTTGATCTAACTTCAATCTTGATCACATCAGTTAGTTTTCATGGACATGAAATCACAGTTTCAATTTCTATGATTCCTTTCGGTACCTCGCAACTTGCTTGGCAATACTTTATGCCTTTCAGGGTATCAATGTTTTTGACATGCTGGGTGACCACAAGGAAGCGTTCCTTAGGCAGATATAAGCAGTACTTCTCCATTTCTTGCTTTACTATAATTATATACGCATTTCCACACTCCTCTAACGACATGCTATGGGTGAGAAAGTGAGGTATATCTAGAAACGCAAGCGACCCAATATATCCTGTTTGACGAAAAATTGTTACCGTGCAAACAATTTGGCAGTCAAAGCGGATCCGATCAGATTGGACTGTTCTCTCATTAAACTCCCTATCCCGTGAATAACGTCGTTCTCAAGATTGAACGTAATATTTGTGATCTCCCTGCGGCCCGACGGAGCGCTCACCTGAATGGAAGAGCACGTTTTCATAGAGGTGTTTGGCACGTGATCCGCCATCTTGTTGTAGTCGCGGTAAAGATTACTGCAGCTGACGACGCTGACCGAGTCGGCACAAGTACGTGCCTCCCGGTACAGTATTGCAAGGCGATGGTTGCGTGGTGAGCTAAAGGTCCCAAGCTGTAATGTTACTAGACAATTATTTTTTACCATAATTAGCGGAGAGTAACCGCATGCCGACGCCTAACGAAGACCGTGCACAAGGCCTTGATATTAAGATTTGTTGTTGTTATTCGATGAATGAACTTAGGCCATGTTCGCTTTCCACAGGGCGCTAGCATCGTGCGTAGGAATGTAAACTTAATAATAATGGATACAGATCACCCTGGCTTAATATTTTTGAGAGATCCACCGTAAAAAATAGGTAGAAAAAGCCGGAGCGGTCGTCACTCTGCAAAAAAAAGAAATGAAGGAGGTGCATTTTACCGAATTAGAGTGTGCAAGAGCAGAACGCACCGCTGCAACATTTTGTCCCTCATCTCCGGCATCGGGTTGAAAAGTTGGGTCACGAAAGCGTGTAATCGCTCGTCGTAGGTTTGCTAGTGCCATGGTGGTGTGAGTATCGTTCGAAATTGTAAAGTCCTCGATGCGTTGAAGTCGCTCTATACAGGTGGACATGCAGCTTCGGCGCACCGGAGAATAAACGCAACAACTTTCGTCCAGCGAAAAACAGTATCCTTTGCGTCATAATAATTCTAATAACATCCTGAATCGCGTCTCAAGCTGCTCTCAGTTTTTCGAGAAGGTCCATTCCAAACATTCTAATGTGTAGGCCTACCTCATTAAATATTTCTGAGACACTGCTGCATCGAAAATAGATGTGTCAAATGCCTTTGCGCACCAGCGCAACTCCAAAAGACATTAAAATCCGGAGCACATCTGTTACGCCACACCTTAAGTGAGGAAATGACCGTTCATTGTCAGCCCAGTTCCATTACGGAAAGATATTCTTCTTAAGCCGTATAGAGTTTGTGTGTTGAAAGCAGAGGTCGCTCTTATTCGCCGAGGCGCGCCCCACTTGATAGGTTCAGCACCGGCGGATAAAATTCGAGAGTCTGGTCTTGTCACTCTTCCATCAGGTTTTTTATCTAAAACTTCCTAAAGGCGGTGTGAAATCATCTTCTTTAGTACGCATTGGTTTGGACGACAGCGGCTGGAACTTTCCCAAAGGCAAACGACCCGAGTGAACATTAATTACGTGCCAAAGTGAACCGGAAGCCGCTATTTTGGGTGGAAGCGTGGTCACATGCCACCATCGAGTCAACCTCAGTTGTCTCGCGCGACAATCCCACGTCAAAGTGAGAGGTTTCGGATATATCGGTGTTTAGCAGCCAGTGATGATGTTGATTTTCCGCGGCCGAGTAAGGAGGTTCAAGGCTCCTGATCCAATCGCTCGAATTAGGAGCGATGGGAAGTTCAACAAGAGAGATGGGCAAAACGACTCAAAGTGTAGACTCTAGGCGATTGACTGTACCGCCATGTCGAGATGATTTATTAAGCAAACCACACCCCGCCAAAATCTAGTCCAATAAAAAACATTACAGAAAATTTCTGTCTCGTGCAAAACTGGCTCCGTTCAGGTTATATACTTTTTATGAGATTCCAGGTCACGAAATATACTTCAGTTCAAAGGAAGCCACCGATCAGTAAGTCGCGTTTAGAACCTGTAACCGCCTATTTTCCGATTGTTGTCACCGCCATCGTCATGAGATCTGTTTGCATGTATGGTTTTGTGAGGCCTCCCTGTATAATCGGAAGTGCTACCTTCTCTTTAAATACTCACGGGTGGGAGCGCGTATGTTGTCACGGTTACCTCATACAAAGTCCAAGGTCAAGCTGTGAAGCCGTGGCACGATGGGCGGGGTGGCCAGCAATGACATGCCAAAATGATGATTTTGGTACTCTAGCGGCATCTGTACGGCGGGTACGCTATTCGACTGTGTAGGTCTTCTCTGTCGCACATATGAGGTGCCACCACACTGCCCGGATACATTTTGTCTAGTTTTCAGTTGATGTATGTTGCTCTCTACCATAACTCCGAGGTATCCGCTGCAAAGGGTTTACACATAGTTGGGTTTTCGGTACCCTGTGTCTTGGCCACACGAATGATATCCCAGAGATATGGATATCTTATATGTTATAGGGGATTACTGGTATCAACAACCTGATCTTAGTTGTAATAACTTAGGACTTAAGTGTCTAGATTAGATTTGAGATATTCTATAGGTTTTAAGTGTAAATAAAATTCAGTTACCTTTTCATTTTAAAGACACGCGCCCTGCAAGACGTCTAGGGTTGTTGATCACTGATTACTAAGAGTTAGCAACACCTCCCTGAGGTAGCTAGTTACTCTTGAGCACTAAGTGCTGTCGATTCATTGAATCGTTTGGTCCCCTAGAACAAGGAACCAAAAGCTTTACGTTTGTTGACTCACTGAGTCGAATTCTTTAAAACTAAGTTGCTTGTTGAGCGTTAAGTCTTCCTCTGACTTAATAGCTGTTCAGCTCCGCTACACTTGTTAGCATTTTTAGTCAATCTATGCCTAAGATTATAAGACTGATCCTCTGTTGGGATGGAAAACCCACTCCCCTCTTTGTAGCCCAAAGGTCGCGCTTGATAAGCTGACCGCATCTTTGGGTCCAGAATACGTGGAGTTCCTTGTTTCATAAGGCCCTGAGGTACTAAATGCACGTGTTGAAGGTTTAATGCAGTATGAAGAGACCCTTCTGGGGCAGGTCCAAGACCAAGTAGCGTCGGATATGCCTACACGCTATGTGTCTGTACCAGACGAAGAAGCTCAGCCTCGTCCACTTAGAGTGGAAGTTAAAAATTACTCCGGTAAGGAGGGTGGAAACCTCATTCCTGGATCCGTGAGATTGAGATAGCCATGCGATCAGGCCTGATCAAGCTTGACGATCAACAGGTCTTGCTGGCTATCTCAAAGCTCGATGGAAGGGCTAGAGAATGGGCCTTGACGTGTAGCACGTCGGTTGACTTAGCGTTTCCCGCATGGGAGTCGCTAAAGTCACAACTGGTACAAAGGTTCTCATCGCCTAACTAAGCTTACCGCGTGAGTTCACGCTTTTTGTCTACCCGTCAGGGTAAGAATGAATTATCGGACTAAGTCCAAGATTTGCGAACTCTCATGGCTACAATGCAGTCTGACCCTCTGCCCGAGGTCGTTTATGTGACTATCTTCATGAAAGGTCTTCGTACTGGCATTGCCAGAACCGAAGCTTCTCGGGCTCACCCCTCTACGTTTGAAGAAACCGTAAAAATTGATCTGGTTGCTGAGCATAACTTCAAGTCGGCCAGGCTTGGCTGAAATGGGAACTACCCTAGCTCTGCGAGAGCAAATTTCACAAGTGGTCCGGCCTTTAATAGGCCGGAACCGATGGATGTCAGCTATGCTGAAGATGAAGGTGAAGTTGAACTTCAAGCTGCTGAGCAGCAACGCGTCGTACGACAATGTTGTACGTGCGGAAGCACTGAACACTTGCGGCCTGTTTGCCCTTTGCGTAACAGCGTCAGGCTACAAGCCAACGTTCAACCCCGAGCCAGGAGTCTGGCATGGCACGGGGAAATGCCGACGCCCAATAGGCGCGCGGCGCCCTACTGGGGAAGAATGGGTTCTGTTACGCATTGAGGAGGTAAAGTTAAACAGAGCTTAGCCCCAAAGAGCTCCGTACCTATTGGTACGGAGCGTGGATACAAGTCTGGCTTGTTAGTAGCCGAGGTGAAAATTGAGGGCTTTGATAGGCCTTAGTCGATATTGATCGACTATGGAGCGTCTTGCAATTATGCTCGACGTCGTTCGCTTGAAGGAAGTCAGCGTTATGCTGAAGCGCTTACAGCGCATGAGGGTGATTCTATCACGGTTCATTTTAGCGACTGGAAGGCGTGTTACTGTGCCTGAAGTCCCATAGAACTTAGGTATACAGTTTTTAGACTATGACAGAATTGACCGCTGTCTTGTCCTTGATATTTGGACTCAAGATATGATCTCATCCTTGGTATGGCTTGGCTTGAATGCAATGAGCCACGGATTGATTGGAGGTCTAAGAACTTAGGCGCCACGCGCAACGTTCCTAGAGAAGTTTTGGAGAGTCATAAATTCACCTTCGCTAGGCAACAAAAGCACTACTGGAGCGAGCCTTTGGCAGAAGATGTCAATGTGCTGGACATTAAAATATCTGAGTTGTCTAACTTCAATGTTGTAAACATCAAATTCGAGCGTAGCTCGTTAGATATAGGTGATACTACACGTACTCTGATATTAATATTCGTTGTGATTACGAGTCACTGCATACTTAAAGCATGGCTGGCCTAGGGCCGGATTATCAAGGATGTGATTCCTTTGATGTGTGTAAGGTGGCACGTGATAATTTTAACGAGTGTGGGCGGCCGTGAGGCCACCACACTTAATGTCGATAATGACATCGTTGGCGAAACGCCGTTCAGCTCAGGGCTTGGCCCGCATAATGTACATGGAGTGGCACGTGGAAATCCACTGGGTGAAGTGTTCGAGTTATGTAACCCTTCACCGGATGTCGGTCAAGACATCGGCTCTCGTATAGAGCGCACTGCTATTAGTAGCAATAAAGGGTACGGAATTGTCCCGACCCCTAAGGGGTGTGAGATCTCCAAGAGACGACTTGGGCGTCAGGTGGTAATTGTAAAGCGCCAGGCGTCCACACAGTCGCTGAGTGATAATAGTGATACAGTATATACGCTTGTGAATGGAGTGACTGGTCAGGTTGATGGCAATGTTAGCCTTGTAACCCTTTCTTCTTTGGATGCTCTGAATGAGCTAGACTAGTGTCTGATGGCGAGCTTAGCCAGGCCTTAAAGGCAGAAGATTCATACGGATTAGTGGTCATTAGACCCGATTTCGAGTTGAGCTCGTCCTCATTAATGGATGAGTCTGTCCTAGAGGATACAAAGGCGACACTCAGTGACCAAAGTGGATCTTTGATCCTCAAAGATCCTTTGGATCCATTTTTATCCCTTGGTGAGGAAATTTAGATGTGGTGTCTGACAACCCACCATCTGTATTGCATCCCGATTGAGGTGTACGTCATGAAATTGACCTAGGTTCAGGTACTAAATACTGCGTAACACGGCAGTGGCCTTTGCCTAAGGAACTGTGTGACATTATTGACGAGTTCTTTCGTGCTAAGCACGCGGCTGGAACGGTTCGTGAGAGAACATCTACCCATTTCACACCAACGTTATGTGTCAAGAAGCCAAATGGCAAGTGGCGCATTGTGCATGCTTACAATAAGCTTAATGCAGCAACTATATTGGCGCAGGCGCCTATTCCTAGAAAGGATGTTCTTCAGAACAATATGGCAGGGTGTACATTGTACAGGTTACTCGACTTAGTCGACATTTATTACCAGCTCCTCATGCGAGCGAGTGATATTCCGCTAACTGCGATGAGTACTCCCAGCGGTATTCTCTGGGAGTAGCTCGTAATGTTACAAGGGCTATCAAATGCATCGGCTACTTGTAACCGACTGGTGACTTATCTATCCTGACCTCATCGCGGTTACGCACAGACGTACTTTGACGACATATTTGTCCATAGTCGTGCAACGAATGGTCGATCATATGTGGATAACCACATTGATCATTTACGAGCGGTGCTCGAGTGCATGCGCACGAATAGACTGCATACAAGTGCATTTAAGTGCATGTTTGATGCAGAAGAGATTTCTTTTCGGGAGTGCTTCGTTAGGAAGCGAGGCCTTCAAGCGGGCCCCGCTAAGGTGAAAGCCATAGTCGATTGGCCGGTTCCCAAGAACCAAAAGGACTTGCGTAAGTGGCTTGGCCTTGCCAATTACTTACATAAGTACAGTGCGAATTACGCAGATATGGCTCGGCCATTGTCCAATCTCCTTAAAAAGGATGTGGATTGGTGTTGGGGTAACACCGAGCATGATGCTTTTAAAGCAATAAAGGAAAGTCTCCTTCATGCGCCAATATTGGCTTTGCCCGATCCTGATCGGCCCTTCAGTGTCATCTGTGACACATCTGACTTTGCCATTGGCAGTGCTCTGTTACAAACAGATATTGATGGACGCGAGCGCGTCATTGCGTTCGAGTCTCGCCAGCTTAAAGCTGCTGAAAAGTTCTTCACCGTTCGTGACAAAGAACTGCTTGCTATGAAGTATGCTCTGACCAAATTCAGAGTACATTTGCTTGGCTCAAAAGCCATTTGTGATCTATTCAGATGGTGCGTCATTACGCACTGTGACACAGTCGCCTAATCTCTCGCAACGTTGGGCCCGTTGGCTTTCATTATTTGCTGAGTATAACTTCGAGGTGAAGTACAATCCAGGAAAGCAAATTGCTTAGGATTATGCGCTATTGCGTCGACCTGACTATGAGCTTGCTCATGTTACGACACTGTCGTCATCAGGCTTTGACTAAATCCGTGCGGTTTATGCCAAGGATGAACAATGTGTAGCTTTGCTACGGGCTCTTGGGAGAGATAAGCTTTTAAACTCGAACATAGAATTGTCGTCACGTATACGTGCGAGGCTACATCGATTTTCTATCGATAATGGACTGTTGTGCTATTGCACGGATATTGAGGATGACCCTCGTATCACTGTTCCTCATGATGAGGAGTTAACTTGTCGAATCCTCTATGAGGCACATGATACTACTTTGCACGGTAATGTCGGTCTGAGAAGACCTATGGCTCGGTAAGCCCGGCTTATTGGTGGCCTAAAATGTACAAATGGGTGAGTACCTATTTGCGTACGTGCGAAACGTGTCAACGAGTCAAACCCTCAGCACATGCGGCGGCACCGCTTGCTAGGCTTCCTGTACCCACTGGGTGTTGGGGGTCCATGAGTATGGATTTTGTGTTCGCACTACCGAAGGATTCGAATAGCAACACGGTAGTGTGGTCTTTGTTGACCGATTGAGAAAGATGGCTCATTTAGCGGCTGTGCCGGACACGATCGATGCTGGAGGCACGGCAAAGCTGTTTATTGACCGTGTGTTTCGACAACATGGTTTGCCTATGGCAACTGTCTCTGATAGAGATCCCTGCTTCACGGGGAAATTTTGAAAGTCTATCTTCAAGGTGCTCGGCGCCCGATTGGGCATGTCCACGGCGGATCATTCGCAGACCGATGGTCAAACTGAACGTGCTAATCGCTTCATTAATGACATTTTGCGCAGTGTTTGCGCTAATTAGCCACGGCGTTGGAGCTCAATGCTCCCTGTTGTTGAATTTGCGTTGAACAACACTGTTCATGCCTCCACAGCATTTACTACGTTTTACGTAAGCGGTCTCACCCACCCTAGCGTTCCGTTAACGCTACCCTCCCGTGAGTCAGGGCTTGGTGGGGGCGAGGTTGCCGATCGGCTTGCTGATATCAGCCCTGCCACTGTTCAGAAACAGGTTGGCGAGTTCCTCACAACGCGATTGAAGAAGGTAAAATGTCTTACGACATGTGCGTGACGCAATGGCTGATAGCCAGGCTGATAGCCAAGATCAACAAAAACAACAAGCTGATGCCATGGGCAGAATTTGTATTGAAAGTTATAAGTTTGGAGACCAAGTATTACTCAATGCTATAAACCTACCTACAAATGTAGTGTCTGCTGTTTAAGACAAATTTGCGTTCACGCTTCATCGGACCTTTTACAATTACTGCCAAAAAGTGCCTTGCGTATACGCTCAACCTTCCACGCAAATTGCGCACACACCCAGTGATCTACGCAGGCTTACTTAAGCCGTACCGGGATCCTTCCCATGTGAACTTTGAGGCGCTGGCGTCGACGACGAGGGCGGTGCCCCCGATTGCTGCAAGCGAATCAGCAAGTCCAACTAAGCCTCGCTCTAAGTTTGAGCATGCTCCATCGCCTGAAGGCGGCTCTGCATCGCATTAAGCATGCATTGGGTCTCCCCAGGGTCTCTTTAAGACCCTTCATTTCGAGAACCTTTTTCTCGTGACTTATTGAGGGTTACCGGTACAATCCGAACCTAGCGCGTAGTTCTTACGAGATAGTTTTTACATCGGTAATTACCTCAGAGATGATTAGACGCGTAGGATGATTGGACGCGTGCAAATCAGGTTGATTAGATGCACCATGTGATTGGATGCAGTCTAGGGTAGGCAGAAGTTAAGACCTATAAATCAATCACTTTCGAATCCTCCCTCAAGTGAGCAAGTGTTCTCTGCTTCGTTCTCTCCGGTCTCTCCGCTTCGTTTTCTCTTCGCCTCGCGCTCAAGTAACAACAGGTTATGAGCCCAAGCGCCATGTCGTCCAACAACACCTCGGCCAGTGTCTCCATCGATAAGTTCGATGGGGACAACTACTCAACCTGGTGTCGCTACATGCGCGGCGTGTTTCTGACGAAGTCAGTCTGGTACGTCGTGAACCGCGAAACGTCTCCAACCTTCACCGACACGCGAGCTTCCGACGAGTACGTCAAGGCGAGCAACATCGCGTTCGGGTTGATGTTGCTCCACATGGACGCCGACTACCACCATGTGGTCGACAACTGTGAAGAAGCATGGACAGCGTGGTCGCGGTTGAAGATGCTCTATGGTGGGTCGCAGAAGGCGGGACGCATCTACCTCAAGCGCCAGCTGTTCAGCATCAAGATGGCGGAAGGTGCCAACGTCTTGCACCATTGCAACGAAGT